AAAAACATAAATCAATATGAATTTCTACAAAGGAAATATCATAAATCAGATTATAAATGATTCCGAAAAAGGATAATGAAATAGGTCCCTTTCTTATTATGTTTATTAAAGACAATGGTATTTAATTTAACACAATAAATAACCACTACCGAGGCTTACAACCTTTAACAAAAATTATATAAACGAAAGAAATCCATTAAACAACCCCGCACAAAAGGAAAAGAGTATGAAAATGTATTCCACGTGGGTTTTTCGTTTCGATAAAATTCAAGAGCACATCAATTACGAGGACGGAGTGCGTTGCCAAAATTCTGGAGGTGACAGTTCGATTTATGGAGTTAGCAAAATAAGAAAACATAGTAAAAATTTAAAAAAGAATAGAAAAAACCCTTATTTAGATTCTACAATCATTTTTTTAATGTTACCTAAAGGAATAACAACAAAACAACGGTTACAGCAACAGTTAGCGAGTGGCAATGTGCTCCAGTGCTGCGACGACGCCATTTTGATAACCGGAACGATCGAAAGTAACGGACACTTCCGATCGCTTTCGCTTTTAGATGTAATTAATTTAAACGCAATCCAAATTGTAATACATAACCTGGAAGATATACAAAGACTCGTATCATGCAAGACTATGGGCAACTTACCTTAGTCTGTGCTAGACGAAGCGAAACTCGGGGATCTTTCATTACAAATGAGAACAACAGAGAGTACTTATTTTTTAAATTAACAAGTTTTCCCTTTTCATGCTATTTGTAAGAGAGATATCTACTTTTTTTTTTTTATTACATGAGATGGCAAACGAGCAAGCAGCCACCTGAATCCGCCAAAATGGCGAAGCGACCGCTGCCCATAGACATCTGCAATTGCAGATGCGTCGCCTACCCTTATCCGACGGAGGAGGAGACGCACATAAAGAGGATATTTCCTCTTCCTATGCATCTCCTCCATCGTCAAATCCATTTCCCCTTCCCATCCTCTCATAAGAAAAGGGTGGTAAAGAGAAAGGGACTTAAAGTAGGCCTCCGGCACCACACTCATCAGACGAAACACGGCATTGGTTCCATTTCACGCCTGTCTTCTGTGTGGTCGTGGTATTACACCGGGCGTACCGGCCCATTCGTGCTAAGATGTTAAAGCGGGCACTACCACTGTTAAAACTACTCTAGGGATCGTTCATAAACAGGTCAACACAAAAAGTGATACCGTGTACCACTTGATTGATATACCAAAGCGAACAGCAGAAATTCCGAGTCGATTTCGTTTAACAATGGCAGTGTAATTAAAACTCGACGAACGGCTCTCGATCGCATATCGAGTGGATTCGAGTGTTCAAGTACAATTTTTATAAACGGCATTTCACGTTGCGCTATTTATGCGCAAAAACAATACGGTTATCTTCAAATCCTTGACAACAAACTGTATTCTAAAGCGTATTTAAATTTTATCTTAAACAAGTTCAAATATCTATAAATTATAGTACTTAAACTTAAATGTGAAATAAAAAAAAGTAGAACAAGAATTATACGGACAAACATAATAACCAATGAATAAATAAATCTTAAATATATCTTAACACGATATGGCAATTAAAGCGCTAATTACGTTTGACGAACGACAAGCAATTACAAGCACGACATAAGATCTGTGAGAAATCTTTGATTGTACATTAAAATGTACACTTCATTGCAAAAAAAATGGAATAACTTAGCAACCGAAGTCTGCGGTCTTTGGAATGTCGAGATTATAAAATTCCATGATCTTATTCCGTAAGATTAACACATTCTAAAATACCACCCACTTTTATAATTCTGATTTTTTTTGGTCTCTTCTCAAAGAGAACATTTGGTCTATGTCTACTTCTATGAAAATACTCTTTAATGTCATTTTAAATGTAAAATACAACTTAATCAGCTTGGGATCTCAATCATTCATATAAACATCATACAAATATTATAAATAAATAAATAATATTATAAATGCGAAAGTTTAGGTGGATGGATGGATGTTTGTTAAAGTTTGTAGCCTAAACGTCTGAACGGATCTCGATGACATTTAGCATAGACGTAGAGGATAGTCCGGAAGAACACATAGGCTACTACTTTTGTTTTTTCTACTTCCACGCGAACGGAGTCGCGGGCGAAAGCTAATGTAACATAGATGTTGAATTTTCAAATAGACAATTGGCAAATTGTTTTACAGAATAGAACTGGGTGACCCACATCACTAACAAATAGACAAAGAATTTTGAGATGCATTGACTGAAAGGTTTATGAAAAGAAAATGCCGCATATTCGTTCCCAATTTTCATCTTGTTCTACTGACTAATGTTTTTACGAAATAAAGCTATGAGCAAATTTCTTATTAACATCAGTTACTTAAAATGTGAATTCGAAGCCAATTTAAAGATTGCGGATATGTCGCGCAATAAAACAATAGGCTGATTAACTTCGCCTTGCGTCGACGAATGCGGCATCTTTCGTCAAAAATTGAGCAATTAAATATTAAGACTTCATTGTCTTTGAGTCCCAAACCTGGAAAACTTCTAGTCTCGTACTAATCACAACATAAAAACCTGTCAATGGGTAACTTAATATATATTTTATTACACCAAAATCTCAGGAGTTCAAAAGGACTTATTTATGCTAGTTTTTAGTGGTTCGTTCATATAAAATCGTTTAGAAAATCATCTGGAGCGTACCACACTAACGACTTACGTCCACGCCATTTGAAAAAGCGGACGTTGTTATCGTCAAGCGAATTCAGCGCTTCAATGCAGCACAAAAAATATCAGAGTCCATTTATAATTTAAAAACGGTTAGCGGTTTTACGCTGAAAACGGTTGCAGTCAAACGGCCCTGACAGCTTTAACGTTGATGCAGAATTTTAAAAAATATAGGCCAAACGGATTCTGCTTAATATTATTTTAACGTACGTTAAATTATTTTATATTTAAATAAAAATGTGCTCCATAAAAGCGTTTTGCAATAAAAAATAATAAAACATTTTACTGCGACGTATTTTACTTTCGATTGAAAATTTGCTACAAAGTTTACATAAAATATCACATTATTTTAATCGGAAGAGAAAGTATAAGTTTCCGTAAATAACGAAATATGTGTTTATTATTTACTGTAATATTCAATACATTATTATGGAATTAATGTTGAGTTTAATCAGAGCTACATCAGTATACAATTATCCGCTCAATTGCGTATAACTTAACTAACTTAAAATCCAAGCAGTAAACTATTATCGTGATAAGTAATGTCGGAAAACACCCGGCAACTAAAAGTTGAAAGCGAACTAAAGTGCGTAGGGTTGTGATACCTAGGTCCTATCTTAGATGTAGACATATCTAATAATAAAATATTTAGTAGATAGAAATAGACTATTCATTTAAGTAAACAACATATTTATGGGATTAGATTACTTTGCAAGTCGATAGTAAATATTAACTACGTAACACATCTTTTAAAAAGTGACGAAATACGATGATTGTTATAAAAAAAAAAACATTTATTTTTTTCAACGCAACGCACAGTTCGTTATACTTGGATCAAAATCTAGCAACCCTACCTGAGATACAAGCTTTAGTAACGTAACTCGACAATCACTATCTTAAGTACAACAACAGGTTCTATGTTAGGGATCAAAGACCGTGCCTCCTAGGTTCTAGGGTTGCCTCCAAGGTTCTTACTTTCAAATTTAACTCAACTTTGAATTATGCATGTTCTAGGCTTTGACATCGCTATCTCAGGTAAAAGTGGGCGTTGAGAAAAAAAAACACTCACACATGAAACCCTAACAATTCTTTTTTTACACAGTTTTTGGATCTGCATTTGTTTTAAATTGGCAGCCCTAATACCTGTCGGACCGGATCTCGACCTACCTCGAGCATGCGCCCAATAAGGCTGTGTTTACACTGCCCGTAAACTGTGACGTCATATCACGCATGATTAACTTTAACATATGAATCGACTGACCGCAGTCATTTTAACGTTGGTTGTTTTTGTACAATAATACAATGTAATAAATAAATTTTATATCAGATAGTTCATTATTAAATACTGTAAATTTTATAGGCTTTAAATATATGTAGAGAATAAATCTGAGATCTGATCTTGAAATAAAAACTATATGTATACTAATATTATGAAGAGGAAAGATTAATATATTTGTATCGAAATAACACAAAAACTACTAGGCCGATTTCAAAAATTCTTTCACCATTAAAAAGCTATGTTCTCAACATAGCCTATGTTTTTTTTTATTATACTTTAATTTCACACAGGTTATGTGTTATAAATAATTAAACATATGCGCCTGATTTTTAGGATGCTTACCTTTTTTCTGTATGCTAAACATCTGTCCATCTTTACGTTGCAACCTTATTTAGCATATATTTAGTTTGGATATTATGAGTAAAAGCCGTCAAAACACCTGCAGTTCCTATGCTGCGGACATCAATACTCACTAAACAGTTGGGGTCTCGCTGTTTGTTTTCTTTCTTGTAATTGTATATTAGAATTTTTAGACTATTGCTTACTATCAGAATCCATTTTTTAAATCATTTTTGTTGTATTTCAATAATGATGTTACATAGTTATTTTTGTAGAATTTCAATTTATAATATACATAGTAACTTATTGTTATCCTGTCAATATAAGTTCCATTTATTATGGACTAAAGAATTAGACAAGTTTTTCCACTTGCAGACCTCATCAGATAAATTATAGAATATGCACAAATTATTAGGCCTTGTTATTTAAAAAGTAAGAGAACTAAATGATGCAGTGATATTGATATTTTAAAAAGTGCCAAGACCGTTTAAAAGGATTATGAAAGATGCTTTTATTTTAGTTAGGGTAGTAATTTTATTAATTTAAAGTAATTTACGTTACAATTTCACGGAGTAACGAATCTCGACGTTAGTGTTAATTGATGCAAAAGAAGTATAAGAAAATAAACAGGATACAAATACAAAGAATACTAACCAAACATGAACCATTTAAAAACAGTAGTCAATGAAAGTCAATTCCACAACTGAATCCACAAAACACACACAATATTGTTTAAACAACACTTTTGTTGATTCACTTTTTAAACGAAACAAATATTTTGCGGGAAGCAACAAACAGCCATTGTTTCATATTCAAAGAGTAAATTCTTTCTCATTCTCAACAATTTGTCAAAGACGTTTGACGTTTACAGTTGTGCTACCAGGATCGTAGTTTTCATTTTAACGGTAAATAAATAGCACGTTTAATAAGACTTTGCTTTTAGGTTTGCGATTTTTAAATGTTTCAAAAGTTTAAATTACTTTGTTATCTATTTAACATTTAGTACTTAAATAAAACAATATTTTTTACCAAGTGGTAATCTTACATTTCTGTACTTGAAATAGTTTGGTATAATTTCAATAGATGGCGGTTAAATTAAATCACAAAACGTTGCAAGTCAGTGAATATGAATAGTTTCGTTTTTAAATGGAACATTGATTTGATTGTACGATTATTATTTAAAACTAATAGAAGACAGTTCATCTCATACAGTAGTTGTGAAGTTCTCCAAAAAGGTACATTGCAAGTACGCAAAAATATAAGAAAGTAAAGAAATGACTCAAAGTTTTTCCATATGAGGGTCTTATTGTTAGAAAATCCAAAACAATCTATTTAATTCACTATGAGAGTACTTCAGAAATTTGCAACTATAAAACTCCTACTGAATTCCATTAGCAAAGTAGCGTAATTTACGTAATGAACACGACAGCAGGTCACCAAAAAAGTCAATATCATTGAAATTTGTAGCCAGGCAACGCCGGCGTGAGGCAGTCGATATGCGTCTAGTTCAGACGATAAATCATATGGGAAAGTTTTCGTATACTTTTGAATGCGACGTGTGGTGAACAGGGGGTGATACGGGCATAAATATCGCGTGGGGCAAGTGATATACCGCGGTTTCGTTCTAATCTGAAGTCACATCGAAGTTGTGAGTTGATTCCACGCAGATAACTATAGTATGCACTGCGCTTACAAGCTGCGGTTATCATGCAAAAGTAAACGCTTTTGTTCAGAAACGCCCATGTTATATGCTAAAGTTTTTTACTTATAAAACACTAAAATCGTTGACCATATTCAGTAGCTTGATTTTCTAAATATTTATTTAGTTTTGTTACGCTTTCAAGTAAAAAAGGCCTGTTACAATTTAGATATGGTATGAAAAGTCCCCATAGACGTTAATATAGCTTCAATTTTATTTGCAGATTTAAAAAATAGCACGGCTACGTTTTTAAAATAATAATGGTATAGTTGCTATTCACTATGCAAATGTACATATGATGGCATAGGTAACGACGAACGTGCATGACTTACATGCATATGCTTACAATCACACGAACAATTTCACCAACGTATACTCCTTGATTATCTCCGAAATAGATAAATCATACTAATATTATAAATGCGAAAGTTTAGATAAATGGATAGATGTTTATTAGAGTTTGTAACCTAAACGGCTGAACGTATCTAGATGAAATTCGGCATAGATGTAGAACATAGTCCGAAAGAACACATAGGCTACATACTTTTGTTTTTGAAATCCCACTCTGATGGAGTCGCGGGAGAAAGCTAGTATTAGATAATACAAAATTCCTCCTGATATAATTACAAGCAACCTCAGTGCACCCTATAGAAATTTCCTATAGAAATTTATGAACGAATTGAGGATAAGAGATTTTCAATAATTTGTAAAAACTAGCTTTCGCCCGCGAGTCCGTCCGCGTGGAATTAAAAAAAAAAACCAAAGCTACGTATTCTGTGTGTTCGTTCAGACTATCCTCTACATCTATGCCTTACATCGAGATCCGTTTAGTCGTTTGAGCCTAAATGACTAACAACAAACTCTAAGAAACATCCATCCTTCCATTTAGACTTTCGCATTAATAACATTAGTAAGAAGTAAGATAGATTAGGCGTATTATTCTTAGGGTCTTACAGCGCATGCTTTTAAGTAATTAAAGTCGATACAAATTGGCATAGTCTAACTAACTTTAGCAATTTATAGACAACTCTAATGCGATCGATTTAACGCAGTTCCCACGACGTGGTACCTCGCACCACCGCCCCTACTTCCTTCAGCTAATTGTTCCTACAACACTTAACTATATGTTTGAAAGCCTTCTACACTATCGACACTTTGGATCATCAACTAGTGATGTGCCGTCACATTTTAAATAAACGTAATGTCGATGTTTTTTTGTTTTTAATGTTCCACTTAGACTTAACAAACAGAAGTTTTGTCTTGTTAGTCTTCTATATATAGGTCTTGTAGAGGAGATTTTAAAACAGCTAGGACGTAATGTAATTATTTCTCTATACTTACTTACTAATGTAGTAATGAGGAAAGATTTGTATTTTTGTATGCATTGAAATGACTCAAAAACTACTGGGTCGATTTCAAAAATTCTTTCACCATAAAAAGCTACGTTATCCATAACTCGAACAGAAGTCGCGGACAACAGCTAGTCATTGATAACATTATTAATTTACAAGACATTCAATTAACAAAGTAGATCAATACTTTGTAAATAGTAAACCGTTGTCAGTCATCCAGCTTTTTTCTAGATGTCAACCACCAAGAAGCAACAGTTAAGTATGGCAGCTAGTGCGATAGCTTTGCGAGGCGTGCAGCTGTTCCTGACAGCGGGGCGCGTAGCAGCTGACAGGCGAGCTCCGCCCGCACCTCCCGCGCCGCGCCGCAAGCCCCGCCTGAAGCCAGTGCTGCCCACGCATAAAATGCAGCAAAAAACGCTGGAACAGTTACTCAAGAATACTAGGTTTACTAAGTGAGTATTCAGAGATTATAGCGATTTTCGGCTGATTGATAAAATGACTCAAATATTTTAGTATTTAGTTAATCAAATAAACCTACAAAAGCAGTGAAAATAAATCCATTGGGTGAACTTTGCTGTAATTAGAATAATTGGATTAGTTTGTATAAAATACTTAGTGCCAGTTAGGGAACAGAAACACTAAGGGCCTGTCTCACAAAATTGTAATGTCTGATAACAATCTAACGTGTAAAATATGTGATGATAATATCGGATTTTGTTACCTTATCTGATAGTGACGTCATTTTTAAGCTATCTGAGCCTCTATCAGCCAATAGTGGGACAGGCCCTTAAACTGTTAAAAGGCGACTAACCCATAACGATGTATAGGTTAACAAAACTGATGGACGTCCACTAAGTATTATTCATTTCGTTGTATTACGACTTCCCACCCCTAGTAGGCTTTCGTGTTTTTCCCTAAAGGTTTAGTTCGTAGTATTGTTTACTCCGCCCAGTCTTAAATCAACAGTTGTACGCAGTGAGGTCGCGACGATAGACGCTTACGTTTTAGCCCTATACGCGATGCCGCACAGAAAACTCAAGGAGAAAACTCTTGAATCCTTGTATAAAAGCACACATTTTAATAAGTGAGTTAATTCTTATCCAAATAAATTATTTTAGTATAAAAAATAGCTAATTGTTGTCTTTAAAATTCTATCTAAGCAACTTTCAGTTGACGACGAACTGAAGTAAATAATCAGATGTAGTATAATGTTGTTATTTTCGCTAAATTTTGTTTAAATTAAGATTGTAACCGTCCTTTAATATTAACGATTGTTCCAAGAAAATATCTTAAATTTACAGTGACTTAAATAACTTTGATATTATGCATAAGTTATTGAAAGTGTAGTATCCCTAAAAGTCGTTTAATTGCTAATTAGGGACACTTACAGCCTTCCAAATAAACGAGGTATAAATTAAAATTAAGAATAAACCGAGTATAAGCAAAATGTTACTACAAATTTTGCTTATACTCAGTTAAACTAAGTTTAACTTTATACCGCGTTTATTTGTAAGTCTGTTAGTGTTTATTCTGACTGATTCTGTTTTTTTTTTTCAGGAATGAACTGGAGGCATTATATTCGATGTACAGAAAGCTGGTGACCAGCGCTCAATCAATGGTTCCGAATTCGGTCATCGGTCAAACTCCTACTAAGCTTGATGTAAGTTAAGATTGCAATGCACAATAAAAAAAAAACAATGTGGTATAGTCTATCTTATGTCCATTGTACTAGTATTGTTATATTGGACCCAGTGTCAGTTGAGAGGGGTCACATAGTCGTGGTCAAGTCAAGAGCTTGACAGGTACATATATTTTGTCAAGCTTCAACCAGCTCAGCGGTGGGGGTTCATGACCCCATGCCTCCCCCCCCCACAATCCGCCGTTTTTGAGACTCCAGTATAATTTAGAAATTAAATTCGGCTCCCGTATTACTATTTTTGAAATCATATGAAAATTGTATCGAACATTATAGGTACATGAGCCATCAATAACTCGTCCCTATAACAAGAAACGATCGCTATTTCCATTTTCTTAGGTAATCGTAGAAAAAAGTAAAGCAATAAACTTGGGGTCATGTAACCACATGATGAGACCGCACGCAACGAACACAAACGAAATAGCAAAATACATCATTTCTGACAGATTAATAGCGGGCGCACCCCGTTCACTTAACTATCGCACAACTGTTTCGTTGCACAATTAAAAATCCAGCAGTTTGCGCTTCCCCATGTAGCTCATAGGAATCAAAGTGCGATTGAACAATTATGCGCTGGTTTAGTCAAAGGTTTGCAGTAATTTTTCTACAAATATACGAATGGAATAATAACATGACATAGGCAAAATAGTTTTAAGCATGTATAACTTACTTTACTAGCTTTCGCCCGCGACTCCGTTCGTGTTATTAAAAAAACAAAAGTGAGTAGTCTATGTGTTCTTCCAGACTATCCTCTACATCTATACCAAATTTCATCGAAATCCGTTCAGCCGTTTAGGCTACAAACTCTAACAAACATCCATCCATCCATCCATCTAAACTTTCGCATTTATAATATTAACTAGCTTTCGCCCGCGACTCCGTCCGCGTAGAATTAAAAAAAAAACTTAGTAGCCTATGTGTTCTTCCAGACTATCCTCTACGTCTATGCCAAATTTCATCGAAATCCGTTCAGCCGTTTAGGCTACAAACTCTAACAAACATAATCCATCTAAACTTTCGCATTTATAGTATTAATAAGATAAAGGTTTCCGGAATAAACTATTTGTAATAGCTTTAAATGTACAAATTATTTCTATTTACTCTTGTGTAAGGCGTGGAGGAAGGCCTATGTCCTGTCCAGCTGTGGGCAGATAAAGGCGGATGATGATTGAAAGTCCCCAAGAAGTATCTTTGATCTTATACTCTTTCTACCTAGTATAGAAGAATTCGTATTTTTCCTTATTTCCTATGTTCATATGCTTACCAGGGCATAGACCAATGTACATTCAGAGATGTGATGCACAGTACATTTGATTTGGTGACCGAGGAGGCAGTGCTGGAACGAGTGTGGGCGACGTGGGAGCGCGGTGTGGGCGGAGGTGAAGGCGCTATTAAATTCGAACCATGGGCACGAGGGCTCAGTAAATTGCTCAAAGGAACAGATGAAGAGAGACGTATTCATTGCTTCTCTGTCTACGATCTTAATGGAGATGGTTATATAACTAGAGATGAGATGTTTGTACTTTTAAAGTGAGTTTTCAGTTTTATTTTAGATATTCCAATCCTCATTTATGATTTTTTATAATGTTATCTACCCTTGTGGTAGACTGACATTTTGTTAATGTTTTCAGGAACTCCTTATTGAAGCAGCCAGGAGATGAGGATCCAGATGAAGGAGTGAGAGACCTGGTGGAGCTGGTACTAAAGAAATTAGATGTAGACAAAGATGGTAAAGTCTCTTTAGACGACTACAGGTTAGAGAGGAAGTTCATCTCCATGTTTATTTTAATATAATGGGCACGGAAATGATAAAAAAAATGATTTGTCGTTTATTGATTTCAGAGAGGCTGTGTCACAGGAACCTCTTTTGTTAGAAGCATTCGGTCAATGTCTACCTTCGAAAAGACAGGCTATGGCATTTATCAAAAATTTAAACAACAAATAAAATAGTGAAAATGTAAAATAATACAAACGTATAATATAAAAATATTTTACTACAAAAATGTAAAATTGATCTAAACATTCAGTCGTGAGCGTCGACGCCGGTATCGAAGAAGTCGTTGAAAGCGGCGGCTGCGGGGAACGGGAGCAGCCGGTGAATGTACTGCAAATAAAAACCATCATTAAATATATACGAATAAAGAACAATTCACAATAACATAGCATTATCATACCCGATTCATGTAATGAAGTTCAGGAGGAATAGTGATCTCCATAACATTCCTTAGCACGGCATCAACGATGATGTCAGCCGCCTCTCCAGCGTTGACAACTTTCATGGCTTTCTCAAAGCGGATGCGAGGCTTGTGACATAGTCCGGTGTTCACGATGTAAGGACATACAGTCGTGAAGTGAATCTGAGGGTGGAAACACAGTTGTTATAGTTAGTACAAATAATTTATCTGAATTGAAATAAGCAAGCTGCTACAAAAATCGTTAAAATAGTTATGTGGGCGCTTTTATACGTCTGAAAAAATTTACAAGGGTGCAAATTGTTATACTAAATTAGGAATATATTGAAATGCGTGTAGTTCTAAAGAGTTTGGCTTTAACTAACCAGTAACTACGTACTAAGCTTTCAAACATTCTACACAGTATAGTTTGAAATGAAACCTCAACAGGCTTTGCTACAGAAATTTTTCAATACATGCTTTTACCTACTACATTTTTTTAGTCGATCCAAAGTCCAATGGTAAAATATACTAACTCCATTGGTATCCCTCGGGTCGCCTCGAAGTTCGATAGCGAGGGCTTCCATGATTCCTCTCGCGGCGAACTTCGAGCCGCAGTAGGGCACCAAGTTGCGGATGCCCATTAGTCCCGCCATCGAGGACATTGCTACGATGTGACCGTGGTTACGATCTATCATTGCCGGCAGGAACGCTTGAATACACTAGCGAAAGAATAGTGAACATTACTGCGATTGAAAATTGTGACTCCTACTTTGGTATTTTGGTAAAAGCAATAATACTGCTACCAAGAGTAAGTAGTAATTAATATTTGTTAAGGAATAAGATAGGTTTAGTAATAAATTGAATACCCATATATTAGCGTTGACGTTAATATCCATCATGAGTCGGATCTCCTTCTCGGTCTGCTCGGTGACGGGCTTGCAGGGCATGATGCCCGCGTTGTTGACCAGCACGTCCACATTACCCGCATCTCGACGGACCTGCTCAGCCAGTTGCAGCACCGCCGCACGATCCGTTACATCGCAACTGATATTCAAATGATTGGGAAATTTTTCAAGACTTTTATTTAATCTAGTCTACTAGTCTACTAGTCTTACTATCTTTCTAGTCTTACTAGTATTATAAATGCGAATGTTTGGATGGATGGATGTTTGCTAGAGTTTGTAGCCAGCTGAACTGATCTGGATGAAATTTGGCATAGATATTGAAGATAGTCCGGAAGAACGCATAGGCTATTTGTGATCCCGAAAATAGTTGTGGTTTTAGTGGAATACATTAATTTAGTTTTTTTTTATGTTCATGTACAATTCTGAAACGGTTCAACATATCTCATTAAAGTTTGGCACAGATATAAATCAAGTCTGGAGTAAATCATGAGATGTTTACTCATGTTTACTCCTGAATAATGTCAGGTTAACGAGGGATACGTAGTTTTTGATTTACATTTCGTTAACTTACACGTATTTGTACGCCTTTCCCTTTTCGGACAATATCATGTTGTAGGTATCCTCATTGTTTTTGGCGTTGATGTCGACGCAGACAACCTTGGCGCCAAGCCGCGCGAACCGCAGCGCCATCTCTCGGCCCATGCCATGGCCTGTGCCTGTGATCTAAACACATTATGTTTAATTACCAAGCTATCTATGCTAAATAGACGTCAGGGAAAATATATGAAAAACCTAGAGGCTTCATTATGCAATAAAATGGGTACAGCGTATTAACTAACTAGCTGTTCCCGTGCGGCTACATCCGCATGTAATTATAAAAACTTGAATGTTTACATTAGTCAAATTCTCAATTGCAAATGTCAAAGTTACCATTCCCATAATAACCTTGCTTCCTTAATTTTGGCAGCTTGTAGTTTGGTACCTATCCCACATGAAGGTTTTCCAATTTATTTACTCCCTAAGTTTAATAGCGAGAAAATATGTAGCCTAAAGCGTGTCGTAAGTGTACTTTTTATTAAAGAAATAAATATTCAAAAGTATGCTGTGATTTCTGACTTCCTACGCCACGAAGTAAGGTGTGTTTACGGTTTATTATATTAGTATAGAGTATAGTAGAAGTTCATTTACATAAACTGAAAGAAATCTTTATTGATCTCAGTATCAATTGGCGTCCATTTTCCATAGCCGTAACCAAACATTTTTTAAAATAACCCGGATATTGTTTATTTATTTGGCAATCGTATTTTGATTATATGTTATCACTACAGAATTACGATATTAATCTACGTAGAAGTTAAAAACATACATCATAATAATATTGCAATAGAAGATATCATTTTAAGTTCAGACACATCCTCATCGTAATTCTTAAAGGTCTTTTAAATCATTTTTATTTTTATCATCATTCCCCTTATCATACTCCTGTAGGGTCAGCACAACAGGTTTTTGTCCTCCAAATAACTCTATCATACGTCATCACTCATCACTCCCTTTTTGATGTCACCTTTCACGCAATCCATCCATCTCTTTCCAGGTCTAATTCTACCGGTGTACCCTTCCACAGTCATAACTAACGTTCTCCTTGTAACATGCGATTCATCCATCCTCGTAACATTTATTATTCATTTTTATTTTATCAAACAATATGTTTTTTATAGTTAATTACTATTTTTCCCGGATTTTCACACAGCTTTTGTAATCACTTGTTTTGTTGAGATAATTAGTACGATTATGACTGTTGGTACAAAGTGCAGAAAAAATCGTACAATCTGTAATGGATGAATTTATCGTTTATAGTAATTTTTGTAAATTTATATGTCCTTTGATATCCTTACAAGCTGAATTAATTTAAATAGGGCCACCTATTTGATTTTATTCATGTTTATCCGTTTATCTATACCAATATTGTGAAGAGCAAAGATTTGTATTTTTGTATGTATTTGATTCAAGCAAAAACTATTGGGCCGATTTTAAAAATTCTTTCACCATTTGAAAGGTTTTTTTATCTTTGAATAACATAGGCTATATTTTGTATTATTTATTTAATATCACGCGGGCGAAGTCGTCTGTACTAATGTTATAAAAATGTCAAAAACTACTGGCTAGAGGTTAAAAATTTCAACTTTAAAAAGCTACGTTATCAGTGGGTAATTTCACATGGTCGAAGTCGCGAGCAACAGCTAATACAGAAATAAAGAAAAGTTTATTTGCATCATACCAGTACAACTTCCCCGGCGACATCTTTGCGCTCTGCTGGCACGAACCATCGATAGATGGCGCGCAAGATTTCGAAGTTGACCACTAGAAGAGTCCACAGGAGTTCGCGTATTAAACGCAGAGGCGAGTTATCTCTACTCCTGCAATATACAACGAACATGTCTTTAATTATTTGTATTATTCCATTTATCTTGATACATGTTTCGTATTAACTTTTTTCAGAAAATTTGATGGTATTGAACTTGGCAGATCGAATAGGGCTGTTCGACCTCATAAAGTACAGGCCAGAACTAAAAATCTTCTCTAATAAATACACAGTTATATTCGCACACTGATATTTTTTCACTGATTTATTAAACAAAATTTGTAATTTTTTAACCATTTTGACATTAGCGAGGTCCCCGAGTAGCAATATAACTGAGAATCGTGTATTGCAGTTTGCTATCACGTAACTTTAATGTTCGAAAAAGTCATGGAATTTCAATTAACTTTGATATTCGATAGTAAAATTATAAAATTGCGTTTCCACAACTGTTACAACTACAAAAAAGTATATAGTTATCCTTTTTTTTCTATGAGATTGTGAAGGATAACAATGTTTATGATAGGATTTTGTTTCGTCTGAGAAAACTTACATTTTTCATTGTTTTCGAAAATGTTTTGTTATTTTAAACCAACTGTAATACTGTTGGAAAATATTTACACATAATTGAGAAAATAGTGACTAAAATAAGCAATTATAATAAAATCCGTTACGAAAATAATGCCGTTCATTCATACTATAAATTCGTTTATTTTGTCTGTTACGTTAAATAAATGTCAACCTAGATAACAAAACTGTGCCATTTAAAATGACTAAAAATAAAATGAATGTCGCAATATGAACTGCAATTAAATAAAACTTACATTATTCCTAACAGTGATCCCTGCTAGCACTTGGGTCGACTGAAGATTGGCCGCCGTTCATTTAATACAGCATATGATAACGTGTGATAAGCATAGATAAGTGGGACGACCACTGAACTTCTTTCAATGTTAATTGTGAACGATAAGACATATAAAAAATATGTCTGGACACAATATAAACAAACACCCCATTAATTAAATACGTAGCTTACAAACCTCATACAGATTCCATCAACAAATGAAGAGCTTTGTGATAGAACTTCCACACTCAGAATCCTATAATATTCACTAACGAGGCCTATTAGAGCAGATTTAATAAGAAAAATTAACTTTTTCTTTAATTAAATACTGTAGTAATCTTTAAGTAAATTCGCGCCTGACAATTACGAATTGCAATTTCATAATTAAGCAAGTTGCGGTTTTTATTTTGCGTTTTTTTTAATCTTTCTGAATGAAATTCTTGTGGTCAAGGAATAGGCCTATATCCTTATTTTGATCACGATAAACATTTTTTTATAAGTAGAAATTCATCAAGCGATAGCAATTGGTTAAATTTGATATCATACATTGCTTAGTTTAAGGAACATTAATAATATTTTGCCATAGAGTATTACAAATATGTGACGTAACCGTGACATTTGTAATAGACTACATCCAGATGACAGCTGTCACACTAGCGCCTCCCACGCTCGCGGCGCTCTGAGGCAACTGACAACACCAGCGATGGAATGGGCCCTATCAATCATATTACTTCACTATATCTGTAACCGTACTGTCCAAACCTTGGCCTAGAAGTTTTACCATCAATATGTTATGTTTCAAAGCCTTTAGAAGACATTAAAAATTGCTATCTCTTTTAAATTCAAACTTGATTGTTTCACTAATCATTATTTTACTAACATCATAAATGCGAAAATTGAATGGACTGATGATTCACAGATGTAGAATATTATTATTAATCTTCTAATTTCGCGCGCAAAAATCAGTCTAAAGTGAGTATGAAATAAAATAAAATAATTTTTAGAAATAACTCAAAATCTGTACAGCCGAAGTATGAGATAAAATATGCAAAAAAGATAAAAACAGTAAATCGCACTACTGTTTTTATTTTATACATTCTTCATACTAAATTCAATTATCCAAAAGTAAAACCTTGTTCGAGAAGTAATGCCAATTTTATGATAAATATCTCACCAATATTTATAAAAAAACTAATAAAATAAATAAACACTAATGGGACATTGACGTAGTGTACTAAATGTTAAACGTTTCGTACCGGATGTTTTTAACATTTTAAAATAGGAAATAAAATATTAACACTTACGTTTCTATATAAAAACATTTAAGAAGCTTGAAAAATAATAATTTATAAAATAATATGTATTGGAAATCATTTTATCAGCATAATAACCCTGATATTAACATTGTCATAATTGTTCCGGCTACAAAATGAAGGTCGAATTTGTGTTAATTTAATGCGACTTGCATTCGATTATGCATAATTCTGAATGCAGTCATTACCAAAAATATTTAAAATTAAAAAAAAAGATAATAATTAAGCACGGCTCCTACGTAAGCGATCGTAAGTTCCTTCAATAGGCAATATGCATATGACGCCAAATTGTAAAAATGAATCGATTTTTGACTTTTTGACCTTGAGATACTTTGTTGTTTTTTACATCGAAGTGCCATCTGAGCGTATGTATGTTATGAATGGAATAAGACGATTGACGTCAATTGTCTCATGTCAACTCTGGTCGCGTTTTAGTCGCTCGAAAATGGTCGTAATTTTGTTTTATTATTTTTAGCTCAATGGTTGAATATTTTTGCGTCAATTTTTTTTCTGGTTATTTTAAAACAAGTAGAATTGTTTAAAAAAAAAAATACATGCATATTCCCTAATATGCAAAACAAAACGTTAAACAATTTTATAAGTCGAATTAAATAATAGCATACAATAGGCAAGTAATAACTACGGTTCTTTTTCTAACGTTACTTTTAAGTTTATACGTAAATTCGAATTTAGTAAGATAATAAAGCGAAAATCGCAAAATTGTGTCTTACGATAGTCTGCATAGGAACCATCGAAACATTAAACGTCAAACAACTTTCTTTTCAATTAATATTGGATTTTTATTGGACGATTGATTATTACGTTGTTATTTCTTATTCGTTATTAATCAATTTATACTCAAAATTGCTTTATACGCTGTTTAATTAATAAAAGCACATGCTTAAGGCACAGATAGTACAGGACAGAGTATTGTTAAGGCTACGTCAAGATAGAATAATTTGTATCATGAACTTTTAATCTATAGATAGTTAATCACTCATAAAACCTTGGTTATTTTAATTACTTCTATGCGTACAAAGATTTCTTTTAAATTGTTTTAATATACTATACATTTACGCTATAATCCATTATTACTTCAATCATATATTTAAAAGTAAACAGGAAATGAAAAACACAGCATATACAGTAAATAGCTTTTTACAATAATCACCGAAGTGGAAAATACGTGTAGTACCGCATTCCATGTTTTTTTTTAATTTCTTAATTTACATGTTGCCAACATTTAAATTTAATTGAAATAGTTTAAGGGTGACCTTGGACCAATGTGTGCGCATTTATAAAAAAAAACCATCGACTGCTTTCTAGTACAAGGTCGATTATCGTTGGTAAACTCTATTATAGTAACGCCGTTGACAATTGGCACTCATTTCGTTTAAAATTTACATCATAATTGTGGCATTAAAAGGTGTTATATTTTTTTTTATAAATTAAAGATTTTAATTCCTGATGAATACAAACTTTACATTTAAAATGACCTTCAGTGTACTTAATTGACTTAAATAAACTGGTAGTTAGTGATAGAGTGGTTTAAAAACAAATAACAAAATGTAAAAAGAAATCGAGAAAAAACATAAAATGATTGTGGGAAAACATGAAGTTGACTACAAAAATAAACTTTTTAATAAAAAAACAAAACCGACTTCCAAACAAAATACACGAAAAACAAAACAAAATGCACTAAAAACAAAACAA